CGAGGGTGTTGCGGCACGTGTGGCAAGTGCGGTTGGCATCCAACATGAAAACCTTCACGCAGAAGCTCTTCCCACAACTAAGGCCAGCATCGTCCGACAACTTCAATCCGAGGGCGATTGTGTCATTTTTGTTGGTGACGGAATCAATGATAGTCCGGCGCTGGCGCAGGCAGACGTTGGCATAGCTCTGGGCGCCGGAACTCAAATAGCTATTGAGGCTGCAGACGCGGTACTTATAAGCAATAGCTTAGTTGACATCCTAAACCTGCGGGCTCTTTCCATCGCCACGGTCAAGCGGGTATACGGCAATTTTTTCTGGGCCTTTGGCTACAATCTATGTATACTTCCTCTTGCAAGTGGGATGTTCTATCCTGTTATTCATTTTAAGCTACCCCCCATTTTAGCTGCTGCGGCCATGGTTTTTTCCAGCATAAGTGTCCTTTTATCTAGTCTCTCAATCAGGTGGTTTGCGCCCTACGAGGCAAGGATGAATACTGCACTCCCCCCCAAGTGGTGAAAAAGAAAAAAAAAGAAAAAAAAAAATCGATAAATAGATTGATTTTGTTTGATCGCTAACTACACTTATATTACGTCCTTAAGATATTGTACAGGAAGAAAATTTGATTTTTCTTTCTTTTGAAACACAGACATCTATTGGTTCATTGCATTTTAACGGTATTTATAGAGGCAAGGCCTACACGAAATACACAAAGTACTACACAAAAGAATGTCTCCTACGGCTGCCAGGATGAACAACGCCTAAGAGGCGCAGCACGGGTTTGAGCGGTGTTGCGCGGAGAGCGCCCGGCTGATGGCCATTCACTTGGGCATAGTGCCCTCCAGTGCAACGGTGGACCAGCTGCGCGTCGCCGTGCGCGGTGCGGCGGAGCTTGAACCGATCGCCCCAGTGTCGCTGGTGGTGGACGACGGTGTGCCCTCCAACACCACATTTGTCGGCGAGTTTCATGCGCTCTCAGAGGATGCCGACGGCTTCCCCTACCTCGATTATACCTTGGAGCGAAATTTCTGTCTTTTCTATTCATTCGACTTCTGGTGGTCGTACTTAAGGATGATACATTGCTCGTTGAGTGGCCGGGAATGGATAGGATTGTTTTTTTTTTGTGTGTTGTTGTTTATTTTGCCAATTCTTTATATTCTATTTATTTTATTAAATTGGCTCATGACTTCTTTGGCAGGGGTCTGATGTTACGCGCGAAGAAATTTCCTTCATTTTCTGGGTTTTGGTTTTGGCTTGTCTTTGGGCGTACGTCGCTGTGCCCTCCACGCGTTCGGCTCGTTCGGCAGTGCTGGGAGACACGCAGCGGGATGCAACTGAAAATATCTTTTTGTTGGTGTTTTTTATGTGGACATTATTTCTTTTCTTCTTTTAGGGTACATGTTAGCCACGTAATATTGACTTGGAGCGGTTTACGTGGAGCATGCGGGGTTGATGTTTTGTTGGGCTTTGTTTCGGGTACGGGGCAGGACTGCTTTTCTTATTCCCTTTTTTTTTCCTTTGTACTTATGCGTTGGGCTTTTGATGCGCTCTTTCATC